ATATCAAGTCATGTAAATTGTTTTTAAGGTTCCCTTTTTCTTATATCACAAATTGCTGACAGCAATAAAGCTGTTGCTATAAGAAAAACCTGGGTAAACACAATCACTGATATTAGTCCTCATTATCCTTTTGTAATGCTCATTCAGCTTTTTACCCAGATAGAAACCTCACGTTAGATAAAATAAGGAGCCACACCTATGTCTCTACCAGCTACCATCTTTTCCTATATAAATCTGGGTCATGATGCTTGTCAGCAGAACTACTGAAAACTTTAAATTACTCTGTACTCTCAGAAACCTCAAAGGCTGTTTTTCTCTCAGCTCTAAGACCAAAGTGGAATGAGTTAAATCTGCATTAGGTATTCAGGTGTATTTCTAAGTATGTGTTCAGTTTTGGGGCCCATTTTTTTCCTTTTTCTTTTTAATACTGCCATGAGGGTTTTTAATGTTTCTTTATATAAAATTGTTTGCAACTAACTTCATAGCCTCAGTCCAGAGTAATCAGGTGCCTTAGCACAGTTTGTGTTCCTACAGTAACTGAGAAACAGTGCTGTGCTTGTTCCCTCTCAGGAGTTTAAATAAAACAACAAAGGTCCTTGAGCCAGAAATCAGTACTGGCTATGCCCCTCACTGCAACTTTTTTAAGATGTTGTTTTGCACTCAGAGCTTAAATTGCTTTGGGTTTTCTTTAACTTACAGTTGAATCTTTGTCTTTTTTTGTGCATGTTACGTTTTTATTGTATGCTTCTGTATGGGATAAGATACATTATGCTAGTATGAAAATAGGTTTATCTTAAAAGTTTTATCTCACCCCAAATGAGATGAATGCCCCCATAACACTGCCCGCAATTGTGGCAAATCCACCAGTCATAACAGCATGGATCTCTGATTTGGTCATATCCTTCAAATAGGGGCGGATCAGCAGCGGTGCTTCTGTCTAATGTACAAAAAACATTTAATTTTTTCTGCATTTATTCACAGGTACATGCACAAAAGTTCAAACAATGATGTTCGTAAAATAGTGTTGAATAAAATGTTGAAGCAAGAAGTACCTGCCCAACAAATATATTGCCTGCCACACTCAAGGTCTCTGTGGAAGACGTTCCCATTGTTATCTGCATAACCCACGAGATCTGCATGGACAAAAATCGTGGCCCTTAGTAGCAGATTATTACTACATGAGCAATAGGAGCACAGAAGCATTGAAGATGCTGCAAGCAGTGTATTTTACCTTCAAAATGAGCCACTGCATAATCCCCAAGTAGTAAAGGACCGACATCACGCTGCTAAAGAAAATAACAATGGGCAAAGCCTGAGGGAAAATCATAAAACTCGGGTTAGCAATGCTCAAGTTAAATAATTCATAATCATGGTTGAGGGTCCATTCATTTACTTACTTGAAAGGCAAAAATGTTTCCAATCAGATCGCCAAAAACGAACGATGAACCTTCTTTGGTGTAGTCGAGAAATATCTGAAATTACAATTGTAAAAATGGAAACTCAGGATAAGATTTCATATATTATTCATTTGCTTAGTAAATGAATTCATGACATTTTTGATGCACATACCAATACATTTTATTAAGGTAAATAAAGTCGCCAATTAGTAGAGATTATAAGCTGTCAAACACACTGTATATTAATTAGCAGGCCACGTGCGTGTACACACTCAACCCTCGGAGGACCAAAGAGTAAAGGTGAATACTGTAATAAAGCAGGTCTAAAGATAAGCATGTGTGGTAAATAAAATAACATGAGTCCACACTGTTGTGTCATAAAAGGAACATCTACAATTTAAATGGAAGGTAAATAAATGATAAAAGAACTGAATGAGTGTTAATGTTACTTGGAAGTGTTATGCTGAATAGTTGTGGTGTCTAAATTATAATTTGATTGACAATGAAATGCTCATCGTCATATAATACCTGCACTTGTTTTCCAAGCCAGTCGAAAGCTATAAATCCAGGCTCCGTTCGTATAATAAAAAGGCCAAGGCAGAACTGTATCCCGAGACCCCAAAACACAGGCCTCCATGATACCTAAAACAAAATGTGAAAAAAAGAAATGCTTTGGCCATGAGATACATAAAGCAGTCTCCATATAATTCAGAATTATTCCATGCAAGCAACTCAACTAAATTGTAAGATGATAGGGGCACAAGGACAGAGATAATCTGAGATACGATGCCCAAAAATGTTTCGAAAGAGATGTCATCACAGTAAAGGCTGTGACTCAGTGGAAAACTAACCATTGTCCTGTGTGCTGAGAAAAGGAATATAAGCATGATGAACACGCAAACTCCGCCAAATGAGATAAGCTGGGTAGGACGCTTGCTTGTGTCTAAAGCGAGCCACACCACAAGCAAGACCACAACCACCAAAATGAAAACCCTGGAAAACACATTAAAGCCACACATCATGACTTAATAGTCACAAGGAGTTTCTTCACAAAGAGTCTGTTCTTTCACCAACTTTAAATTCACTCACCATTTTATCCATTTCAAGTTTGATTTAAACCATCTGACGGCGGGCTTGAAAAAGCGACTGATGCTTTTCCCCTTGTACTTGTTCAAAAGTTCCAGTGATACAGCAGCAACAGCCAAACAGGTCAGGACTACAAGGGCAGTAGCCCTCTTGAAATCCAGGACACATGCCGCAATGAAGTACGCCACATAACCTACAGAAGAGAAAAGCAATTCATCATGATCACTGTCTATACTGAAATTAGTTTACTCAAAGAAAAGTCACAAACTTTGCCTGTGTAAAGGATACCATGCAGAACCCTGCTGTATATATCTATATACCATTGTAGATACCTATATACTATTCATAATACTGTCATTTCCCATGCATATCGCATATTGCATGTAGAGCAGTAGTACCTGTTTGCTGTGGTGTCCCCCAGGGATCTGTGTTAGGCCCTACCCTGTTCTTCACTGTATATGCTTCCTTTAAGTGTCATTTTTGAGAAATACCACATTGCCTTTCACTATTATGCCGATGACATCCAGATCTATTTTGAGCTGAATGATGTCCGTGAGTAACTTTCGAGAGTGCATGTGTGAGGTCAAGCAATGGCTTCTGGCAAATTTTCTTATCCTTAACGATAAGAAAACTGAAATTATGATCTTTGGCAGTGACGCTCTTCGTGCCAAACTTCATGATGCTTTTGGTTTTCTCACTAGTTCTTTCCCTGACACTGTTAGGAATTTGGGTTTGCTACTTGACAGCTCATTTAAACTTGATAAACAAGTATCTGCTGTCGTCAGATCTAGTTTCTACCAACTTCGCCTTATTTCCAAGGCCAAACACTACATCCCGCACAATGACTTGGAAAAGCTTATCCATGCCTTTGTAACGTCAAGACTAGATTACTGTAATTCACTTTATTATGGTCTCCACTCTACCCTTTTACATAGATTACAGACAGTCCAGAATGCCGCTGCACGCATTCTAACTAAAACTAAGAAGTTTACTCACATCACTCCCGTCCTTGCTGATCTGCACTGGTTGCCTGTGAAATTTCGTATTCAATTCAAAATTCTGTTGTTTACTTTTAAAATTACTAATAACACAGGGCCAAGTTATCTTAAGGAACTCTTAAATTCATATCTTCCTACGAGGGCCTTAAGATCTTCCTCACAGTTATTGTTGGTTCAGCCCAGATCTCGCTTGAAGTCTAGAGGTGATCGAGCGTTTGCTCTAGCTGCACCTGAGCTGTGGAACAATCTCCCGATTGGCATCCGGGCGTCTGATTCTATTCAATCTTTTAAATCACGGCTTAAAACATATTTGTTTGAACTTGCTTTTTCTACTAGTTAAATTCTCGCCTCGCTTCTTGTGAGTTATTCTATTAATGTGTCTGGTTGTTTTGCGTTGTCCTGCACTGTCAATGTTTTCTATCACTGTGTTTGATGGTACAGCTTTACTCTGCTATAGCTGTGTGCTATAGTTTATTCTTATTAGTGGTCTTTACCTGTGAACATAATCTCACACTTACATGACTCTGACGTTATAGTGCTAATTATTTTATTGTTGCGTTGTCTATGTTCTCTATCACTGTGTATGATGGTACAGTTCTACTTTGCTATAGCTGTGTGCTATAGATTATTCCTATTAGTGGTTTTTACCTGTGAACATAATCCCACACTTATATGACTCCGATGTTTTAGTGTAAATCATTTTATTGTTTTATGTAAAGCACTTTGGCATGCCCCTGGCTTTTAATGTGCTCTATAAATAAAGATTGTTGTTGTTGTTGTTGTAATCAATCTTTTATTTATTCCATAATGTATTCCAACATCTTTGCACTCTGCACCACTGTATATATGAATATAAATGTGCTGTACAGGTTGCTATTGTATGTTTGTTTATTTGGGTAAATAGAGTGAGAGCAAAAAAAAAAAAGAAAATGAAGCCCCATTCTTTGCACATCTACACATACTTGGTCAATAAAGCTGATTCGGATTCTGATGCATATCTGCTGAATAAACTGATGTTTCATAAATTATTACCTGCTCCGAGTACACCCAGGACAATGTATTTGAAGAGTTTTGAATGAGCCTTGATGTAATTCTCTGTGGCATTGATTGGTCCGGAAACTTTGCTGAAGTAGAGAAATAAAATCAAAAATCAGAAGTAAAGTCAAAAGCAATTGTTCACTGCAATTCTCTTGAGTAAGTAGAATCATATTTCAAATTATTTTCAAGTTGTGTATACAGTATATTGACAAAAGTACTAGGTCAGCTACACGCTACTCCTACACGAGCTGCTCGACCTATGGAAACCCAGGCCATGAAGTTCCCTGCACACAGTTCTTGTGCTGACATTAATGGCAGAGGAGCTGTGCTGTTACTGAGTGGTGCTGGTGATCTTTAGAGCTCTTGGTTACCCCACTCTTTAGCCACTTTGTTGCTGAACTACGTTTCCAATGCAATAAATAGTGCAATAAATACTTTCAGAGGAAATTTCACAAATGGACTTGTCACAACTGTAGCCTTGTGTTCCAGTACTATGGTCAAATTCAGTGAACTCTTTAAAATTGTCTTCAACAGATGTTTTTAAAGGCAGAATGCACGAACAGGTGTTTATTTCAACAACTTTAGCAGCGGCAATTAGACTGAAAACACGTGAATTCAAAGATTAAGCGGTGTGGCACAAATACTTTTGTCCACACAGGTTATTTTATACAACATTAGATAAATCTTAGCCATATACTGGATTAAAAGAATCTTATCCATTACAGATTTTGTTTTGTATGTGTGTAAAGTATACACACAAACTGTCGAGTAAACAAATACAGCACAGAGGCCTAAGGCACATGCTATAAAAACTTACATTACAGCGCTCACAATAAAACTGTAGGACTAGTTCTATAAACAGAAACAACTTGAACTGACACACCTTAGGTATGATCCCAGTTCCAGTCTTTTTTTAGGCTTTTTGGTCTCACTTTTTATGCTGCTGTAGTGATTAATGTCATTCTCCTAGGAAAATACAGGTAATTTATTAAAAGCATGTTTCATTTGAAAGTAAAATACAGGAAAACATAACACATACCTCTATTTCATAAGCATGGTTGTCCACTCCACTTCCATTGTTCTGGCTTATCTTTTCGAGGTGGACATCGTATTGGTCCGCTGAAAAACAGGATCATTATTCACTTCTATCCAGCTGCCTGTGGGAAAGCAGCTGCAACTTGAACAAGCAGGAGCAGGAACAATAAGTGACAAATCAAATCTCGATTTTTTTGGTTTTTTTGGTTTTTGCTCTGTGAGATAAAGAAAGCTTAACATATGTCCACATAATCCTGAAATCTTATGCGAATCTATATGAAAATTGTTCCACAAAAATACAAATTCACAACTGCAGAACAAACAGCTTAATACAAGGAAAAGCAGAGTTAATGGCTTACTCATTGTGCGTCCTCCTAGACCCAGCTGTCAAATGCTGTGCTGTAAAATACACCGCAGGGAATACTCTGCCCTCAATGAAACATCTTATCATTAATTAACAGACACGTAGCGTACTTCTCCAATCTCTCAGGAAGTACACAACGGAGACGTTTGTGTCATTCAGGAGGAATGATTTAATGTGCCTTATGAAGCAATACTTTGAGACGTGAAGCTGACCATGTTTTGCATTTCCTAAGTTGCTGGAACGACAGAAGATGAGTCTTGAATTGACTCTTAAGAGGCATTTCATAAGAAACACAGTAGGTCAGGCATGACTTTATCTTTGGGAGGTTGTTAGCACCTATAAGTCATAGAAAACTAAAATTGGGTATCTAAAAATACATTTGTCACAAGCTTCTGAATAATCAACATGATTAATAACAGAAAGGAGCCCTTATATCACAAACAGAATAAGTCTATAGTTATATTAGCCTACCTTAAAAATAAAGCTCAATATGTGGCTGATAACCCTTCAAAAATAGCATAACTCTCAAAAAGTGAACACTTTACATTTGACTGCAACTATTTTATCCCTGAAAGGCTTTGATATATAAGACACTTTTTGGTAAGTCAGCGTCAGCAGTGTCAAGTTAACTTGTATTAAATCTTTTTTCTTCCTTTTTTTTATGATTATTTTGAAGAGTAAGCACACTGAGTACTTCAGAATCAGAGAGCCTGGAATTCAGCTGCAGCTGTTATCTGGTCAATTAAGTATATTGCAGCGCAACCCGTACTTTACTTTCATGGTGATGATTCACGATTGGGTGTAGTGGCAGCTGTTTGTTCCGCTTTCACCTGGTTAAATATAATCTTGTCTAACACATAAAAAATTATGATTCCTTTGAAATAGAGTTAGTGCATGCTTGGTGACACTCAGTGGGGACTCAGTCTGTCTGGAGGAAGTGATAAAGAATAATTAATATTTAAAAGTGCAGCCCATTTGCCTTCAGTTAGAAAGCTTGGCACCCTGAAATCCATTAACAGATATTAATGATCAGTAACAGATTTTGTGACGCAACATTAAATAGACTGAATCAGCAGCCCGAGGAGTTGTTTTTATGTTAATTTCCCTAGCAAGCTCAGATTGGCAGTGGAGTGGGAATAATGTACCATTAATTCAATAAGAAGCCCTCTACTTCATCCAGCATTAAACTGAGTTTGATAAGTCTGTCAATTTATATTTAAGTGTCTTTTTTTTTTTTAAACCAGCAAAATAAGTTTGTTTCATCTCTTAAATGCATACAATCAATAGCATGTTACTTCTATTACGTTTACACTAAATAAAGCCTTTATTTATTTATTGTTAGCTGATGACTAAGTGCATGCGCCTATAAATTTAATGCGAACTGCTGTCACTTCTGGAAACCTTGACTTGCGGGAAGGAAGCTGTAGAGCTTTAATGCCCTCAGTTATGTCTTACAGGACGTTTATATAGCTTCTTCACTAAAATACTGGCAGTTTCCCAAATCAGAGGCTGCTGAGGTCATGGATCTTTAGAGAAGATCACCCTCCTCACCAAATTATCATCTTAATTACAGCCAAAAACCCATTATTAGCCCATAAAGTGTTAATACCACAGACATATTGGGATGACTTCCAGTTTACAGCATGATTTGTGACATTTCACAGCATGGATCTGATGAACACTTTAACAAATAACTGGAAGCCAAATGAACTTGATAATTGGTGGTTATAGGGATGTTTATATATTTCTGATAGGATTAGTTTTATGTCTATGAATAGCTGTATACAGATATCACGGTTTACAAAACCGTAATTTAAAGGCATTCTGAGCATACATAGTATTTTGCACATCCCCTGAAGCTGAGAGATCTTTGCCAGGCAGACGTGTCTGATGAAAGGCACTGTTTTTGCATTTTGGGTCGTTTGGGGCTTGAATTTTTCTTTTAAATTCACCCAAATTAGGAGGACAAGGCTATATTTCTGTGTTTACTTTTCATTAACCAAAGACAAGAGCTTTAGGGAATTCGAAACAAGCTTTCCGACACCTATAATAATGTTATTTTTTTGCATTTTCAATATTATTAGTAGGATTTAGTGCCTCATTATACATTCACCCGGACTCAAGGTTTTTATTTGCATTAAATTTTAATATTGTTAGCATTACCCAACCTTACCGAACACCGAAGCTTCGTCGTTTGTGAGTTGCAACTCCGTCCTGAACCTGAATAAATATTTTGGTGGACCTTTAGTACTGTCGTTGAAAGCAGTCACTCCCGCTGCAACCTCAGGTCTGTAAGACAGCGCCGAGGGTTTCAATTTCCCACTGAGGAAAAGGAAAACGAAGTTAACGTTAGTAGCTTGTAGCCTAGCTATGAAACATTAAAACAGCCTAGCCTGCGAATATTTAGTGCAGACAGTTAAATGGCTGAGTAGCTAGTTTACTAGAGCTGTTTAACACACTCGGATCAAATGGTGAGCACCCTGTGTATCATTACGTGACGACTTTACTCGTTTGGCTGAATTATTTACGCTGTAGCATGTTGCTAAGATGGGGGCTAACTCGCTAGCTTAGCTCCATTTTACAGCTAGCTTGTTAGCTGGCTCCTGTGTGCATCTGTCATATAATTTGTCCAGTGAGTGGGTTTAAAGTTTGTGCTATCTGTTAAATCGCTTGTGTTGTGCGTGTTTTATTGCATATTTAGGATTAGCGCTGGAGATGTTGCCCACGTTTAGCTTGCTGGCTAAAGCTAGCGTTGACATATGACGCGTCTCATTTGCTAAATAGTTACTCTTCAGTTTATAAAACAGCTTTTTTTCTCTTTTAGTTTTTTATTGTAACAGTTCTTTGTGCTCATACTAAGTCACAGCTGCGTCTTTCTGTAGGTTTGTGAGACTGTACGGCCATGGGTGACATGAAGACCCCAGATTTTGATGATCTCCTGGCAGCTTTTGACATCCCAGATGCCACTGGATTGGATGCCAAAGAGCCCATCCAGGGGAGTCATGAGGAAACAGAAAGTCAGCTGAAACACACAGAGATGTGTCTGGATGACAGCTTACTGACTAACCAAGCTATACCACCCTCAGATGTCCCAGCTGTAAGTGTTATTGTGAAAAATACAAGTCGGCAGGAGTTACTTGAAGAATTTAGTGATAGACTTCACTCGGGACCAACATTGCAAAATGGATTTAGGGGACAAGACACTTCTGTGACCTCTGCTGAGACAACTAATACCAGCTTCTCCAAATCATTTGTGTCCACATTGAATGGGAAGGCTTCAAGTGAGCTTTCTGGAAAGCCACCTATACCAGATGAGGCACCATTGTTTCCTCAGGCACTTTCAGATTTAAGTCCAGTCTCCAGTCCTGAGCATGAAAACACCCAATCAAGCAGAGAGGAAATACTTCCAAACGAAGACAGACTATGTTTCCCAGAAGCTTCAGTTTTGGACACTTCAGTCTGTCACAATCCCAAAAGAATGGACCTTAGCATGTTTGATAACTCTTCCAAGGACTCTAATAATTACGAAAGCATACAGAGGATTAAAGGAGCAGAAAGTAGTAGAAGCGAGGAGCTTTCTGACATCTGTGGTAGTAGTGAAGCAGAGAAAACACCTGGACTACACAGTGAATTTCCTCCACAATTAGGAAACCAGAACTTCACTGAAACCAACTGGAATTCAGGAGCACCAGTGACTGTTCCCTTATCCCTTATTGCCCCTTATCCACATGTCAAGTCACAGACATGTAAATTATCCTCTTGTCTTGACGCTCTGGTGGCTCTGAATGCTAGAAAAGATCCCAATGAGCAGACAGATCACAGAGAATCCCCAGCTGTTCAAAGTGACTGCATGAAAGCTAGCCCCAAGGTCCCCATATCCCCACGAAGCCCCAGAAGTCCACTTGAAGCAGTAAAACGATTAAGGAAACCACCTGATAGCCCTGTGAGTATCTGCAGTGACAGTAGTGGCAAAGCATCCCCTGCAGTGGTATCTGGTTCACCTCCAGCCATACCCAAGGTCAGGATTAAGACCATTAAAACCACATCTGGGCAGATCAAGCGTACCGTCACCAGTGTGCTCCCAGATTCAGAAAATGAAGACGTGCATTCTGCCTACGAATCCTCTCCATCGCAGAGTATGATTAGTGATGATTCATACTGTAATGCATCTCCACATCAGTCTCAAGCTCCTGATGGTGTTGTTGGGGTGCCAAGTAAAGGTAATGCAGCCAATACAGCTTCGGCAAAAGTTTCAAACAGGAAGTCGGAGGAAAACTCCCGGAGGTCAGGTGTAATGCGCTCTGCACCAGTAGTCCGTAATACTAAAGTCAAAAGATCTGCCGCACATCAAGTGCACAAACCAAAGAGAGTATCAGCCACTACAGGCCATGCAACTACCACAAACTTCCTTCCAAAAGCAATGCACTTAGCTAGTCTAAACCTTGTCCCTCACAGCGTTGCTGCTTCAGTAGCTGCACGAACCACCTCCTATCAACAAAGTCAACGCACACTCTCCTCCACAGTGTACAGTACTGTCCCATTAGTGCATCAGGTCAAAACAGCCAATTCTTATCCCCACCTGTCTAATCCGAACCCATCTGCGGGAACTTTAAACAGACTGTTGAACAGTGCCAACCCTGTGCCTACATATGTGCCAAACTTGAACCCACCTCCGGGAACCAATATCAACCTTCCACCACATGGATACTGCTGCCTCGAGTGTGGGGACTCCTTTGGGGTGGAGAAGAGCCTCGCATTTCATTACAGTAGGAGGAGTGTCCACATTGAAGTAGGATGTACACACTGCGCAAAGACTTTGGTGTTTTTTAACAAGTGTGCCTTGTTGGCTCATGCAAGGGAACACAAGAACGGTGGCACAGTGATGCAGTGCACACAGCTCAATTTGAAGCCCATAGCAGAAGAAAAAATGTTTGTACCCCTGAGTAGTGAACTGGTTAGTGTGGGCACTTACTCCTCGCCATTAGTCTTGCCTAAAAGTGAGCCTGTCCTGCCCTTGTATCCGGAAAGCGTCATCCGCCATCGACTCCGTTGTTTGGAGTGTAAC